TTTTTGCCTGAGAACAGCCGTCCATGACTCTTGCACGCACGTAAAAAGACCACATCTCCCCCCAGAGGTATGTGGATCCTAACACTCTGTCCTCTCAAATACTTTTTAATAGAGTTTAGAAGTTTGGTGTAAATGCCAGGTCTCTGAGCCAAAGTGCCTTTAATTGAGTTATGCTTTCCTAATTTTCACCACCACCAGAGCCAGTCATGCAATTTAACAGCCAGGTCAATTAGTTTTCATATTAAATTTGTTTTCAAACTAAATTGACTGCTGGCCATGATACAATATGACCCGGGCTGAATTGTTATGAGACAGTAAGCGGAGTTCAGGGTGCAATTAACAACATAATATGACTATGACTACAGTGCTGATGTTATGTTGGGTAATGGTACTTGCTGTAGTGGGATTCACGCCAGTAGGTCTGGTTCAAATTCATTTACTGCCTCATCTCCTAACCCTGGTAAAAACAAGGGGAGAGTGGCATCAGAAATCTTTCCACTGTGATAACCCCTGATGACACATCTTATCTCATTTAATAAAAATGAACCGATACAATATACTGAAATGAACTATAAGCAATAACAATTAGAAATGAAAACAATGAGCTAATAAGATTTGGCACAAGTTACATAGGTGTATTTTCAATCACTTTATGCTAAATTATTTTAGTTTAGAAAATATAGATGTTTTTGGTACCGTGTACACAACAGTACATGTGCTACAAGCATTAGCAAAAAAACATCTTCAACAGCATAAAGCCCTTCTGTATATTTCCAGTCTCATCCTGTAACCTTAACTGAAGCAACACTGCCCCCTACAGACTTTACATTTGAAAAGCACATTTGACAACGACCACAAACCATGCAAAATAACATTTTTAGAACTTTATGAAAATAACTATGTGAACTAATTTGCATGGGTGACAACAGTCTAATGTGTTATTTTGTGATTGTGGTTGATCAACAACAAGTCCAGTGCTAATGATGACACAAGCCATGATTACAGTAAGTAGGTTACAATTAACTACGCTGTAGTGTAGCGGTTAGCACATCTGCCTTACATGCAGAAGGTCCAGGGTTCAAGCCCCAGAGTAACCATCTACTTGGTGCCTCTAGTAGATCTGCTATTAATAAAACATTTCCCCAGTGTGAGATCAATAAAGTTGTTTTTTTTTTAATAAGAAAAAACACACAGGGGAAAAAGAATATCCCCATGTGGATTAGATCAGTCTTGATTTCTGATTTTATGAACAACATTTGAGATTCTATCATTAGATAAAAGACACCCAGACCAATACACCAACTCACCTCACACTGGATAATTCAGTGTAGGTTTTTTCTATTTTACTTATTTCTGAAAGGATACTTTCCCTCTCGTTCATTATTATCACATTCTGCTGCTCCAGCTGCTGGATCTTGCATTCAAAGTTTTCCTGTTCATATTTCAAACGCTTCACTGATTTTTCCTTCTCCTCGCTGACTCTAGAAACAAGATATAAGGGAAACCATAGATGAGTAGTAAACTACCAAAGAGGAGAAAATAACCCACCACAATTCACACATATAGTGCCTATCATACTTATTCACCCCTGTTGATGTTTCACCTTTTTACTGCTTTCATAAAACAATCATGGTAAAAAGAAAATTGGCTTTTTTCACAGAAAAACGTATTGGAAAAAACTCTTTAATGTCAGAGTGAAAACAGAATTCTACAAAGTAATGTCAATAGAGATACATTCAACTGGTGCCAGTCTCACTATTAGTGAAATGAGGATCACCTGAGTAGTGTGGGTGTGTCTCAAATAATTGAGATATAAAACACCTGTATTCTGAGACCCAGAGACTGGTTCATCAGTATTCTTTGCTACCATTACACCATGAAGACAGAAGAACACTCCAAGAAACCCACAGAAAAGGTTGTTGAAAAATGTGAGTCAGAGGATGGATTAAACAAAATTCCAAGGCATTGAACATCCCCTGGATTTCAGTGACAACAATCATCAAGAAATGTAAGAACTATCTGAACTGAGTGACAGGAGCCTAGGAGTCTATTGAGAGAAGCTACCAAGAGCTTTATAACTACTCTGGAGTTACAAGCTTCAGGCAAAGGGGCATCTACTAAATACTGAAGAGGGTGAATCATTATACAAACTTTTTCTCTCTATATTTTTCTGTTTCATTGACTTTGTAGAAATGTTTTCACTTTCATATTTTTTTTTTACTTTTTTGTAAAAGTCACCATAACTGATTTATGAAAACAAAAGGGTAAAACATCCAAAGATATGATTAGACACTTCTGTTGATTAATTAAGGAAGAGGTGGATGATTGCAGCCCTACCTGGCTAGCTCTTCAATTAGGTTTGCAATTCGGCGCTTATCTTCGGAGCAGAGGTCTTTCAAAGATATTTGGCTTTTGACACTTGTGTCAGAAATTACCTGTTAATAGAAACAAAATATTGAGAATGTGCTTGCCCTCTTCCATAAACACAAATGTGGACATAATGCAACTCTGTAGGAGGAAAACATTTGAGTTACCTGTGCTTGTGGTAAAAAAGTGACAAGAGAAGGACTGTTCTCTGGTAACAGAGCAGCCCTTTGGTGGACTGACAGGTTTTCCTTTGTGTAGAACCCAGCACCATTACTCTGTGTATGACCCTGTTTTTTGCCTCCCTTCTTTGAAGCAGACTCCTTCTTACAGTCAGACCTATGTCCTGCTGCACCTTGAATTTTGGCACCTCTGTTACTGACTGTGAAAGTGCTGTCTGATTCCAGGCTGACGGGGATGTGGCTAAACACCTCTCCATTCACTCCTGATAACAAGTGAGAGAACAGAAGAAGAAAGTCCATGTAGTAATGTACAAAGAATATTTTCAAATAAGTTGAAAAGATCTAAGGGACCCACCAGGAACAAAGACAAATGGCTGCTCCTCATCTGACAAAAGAAACAAAGAAAATGCTGTATGTTAATTATATTGATTTTATTTCAATTACTATTAATTTAATTACATTGTATAGAAATTATCAGAAGTAGGCAATAGCCAACTTTAATTACAAATGTAAGAAATGTGTATGCCTACTGTACAAAGCAAACTCGATTGTATATCCTTTCTGCCACTAAATTTTGTAAAATGTAAAGAGAAAATTTGAATTCACATTTCACAATAATAAAAAAACAGCCGTTTTGAACACAGTATTCTTAATGACTTATTTGATGTACTCGCCTCCAACATTACACGTTAACACAGCTCATAAACTCCAACTTAAGGTAATCAAAAGTCAACTAATTAATTCCACGGTGTATTTACACCTATTAATGTACAAGACTGGACATCACTGCAAAGATATAACAATAGTAACGAAGTTACAAACTAGCTTCCGCTTCCACAAAATGACAACAAAACAGCATTTGAAAAGATATCTGCATTTGATTAACCTTAAATGGTGACAAGTTGAGTTGTTTATGCAGTGTAAAAATTTAGGCACTGTAAAGTATTGACGACGTATACATACCTCCATTAACCCAAAATATTCCAGAACTTCCACTTTTTGTTTTCTTCGCCGCCATGTTGAATCGACCGCCACCACTCCCCGGGAACTAAGCGCGTTGTCAAGGGAAGACAACTCCGCCCCTCTCAAGGGCCTGAAGTCGATTGGTTATTCGCTGATAACGAGCATTTCTATTAGTTGAAACAACTATCAATCTCCCCTCATGTCAGTTCGTATAACAGAACGTCCTACTTTCACGCGCATATGACTGGCTAGAAGTAGTAGTGGTTGACAATGTATTTGGTGATTGGTTTAAACTAGCAGGAACTGTTATTCTACACCAATCAAAATAAGGTAGAGGCGGGTCGCGTGGAAATTAGTTTATATCAGCTGATATAGATGATGCGAGGAAAAAGGGGGCTGTTTACATCTGATGCTTACATCTTTTGAAAAAAAAAAAATACTGTTATATAGTTTATAATGGAAGCAGTAAAGGAGAGCTCCGCGTTCAAATGTGTCGCTGAGAGACTAACACTCGGCATCACGAGAATACTTGGTTAGTGCTCACTGTGGCGTTTTAACCTCGGTGAACTGTGTTGCTAGCTTAGAATGGAATCTAATGAATTTCATTCATTCATTCGTTTGTGTTTTACCAGAAAACATGCCAGGTGTGATCGATGTCCGCGTCGCAGAGAGAGAGCCTGCAGACAAGAGGAGCCTGCTATCATGGGAACAGGTGGAAAATAAACACACGTTGCAGTAAATGTGAATCTGGTCTGCACATTATGTCGCACTTAAACGTATGTATTTCTCCATAAGAAAAACACTTGCATTTTACCAGAAGACCTGAGAGATTTCTATCAGACAACGGATGGTTTTACTCTGACCTGGAACGTTAAACTTGATAGTAAGTCACGTTATTATATCTCAGTTCTCTGTGACCAATCGTATACAGTAAATAACTCTAAAACCAACAACATACTCTAAAACATTTTGAACAAGGAAATGATAGCAGTGGTTGATATTTTATTTTCTAATATTTTATTTCAAGGTTACTTATTATTCTATTTTAAAGCCGTTTTTAAAAAACTATGAGATGAATATTGAAGATTCTTCTAAAGAATTATTTATCATACCCTTTTAACCTCCTGCAAATTTTTGGGATTCTGTTGCAGGCCTAAGCAATGCAATCTACATCTAATGTTGATCAGACACAAATGTGTCATTGCTTCTTTTTTTTTCTTTCTCTCTCTATGCGTGTGTGCACACCATTCAGATGAGTGCGTTCCCCTTGGATGCATGGTAGTGCACAGTGTGGCCAGGCTGTGTCCACTCCTGCAACCAGTATCTCTTTTCTCTCTGCCTAACGCACCATCTCTGGCTGACTTGGAGTGGGACGAAGACAGTGCACAAAGTGGTAACATTAATTTTTCTCCTGCAATTATAATGCACAAATTACAGTGTGTCATTTGCAGTTATGTGTGTTTGTGTTTGCTGATTTGTGAAGGGAGAAGTCTTACGTATTAAAATGAATTGCAATGAAAATGATTACTCAGCATTCATTGATTCACTGTGGCAGGCTCGGAGACAGCTCCTGCTGCTCCACATTTTGATTCCCGGAGCAGAATCTTTGAACTGGATTCTTGCAGTGGGAATGGCAAGGTGTGCTTGGTCTACAAAAACTGCACCCCAGGTTTGTAAACCAAATTTGAATTAATCTTCCCTTGCCATAAATGACTTATTTACACAATTTTATATATATATATATATATATATATATATAAAATAATTAGTTAATTAATTAAATAGTTTGATACATATTTTTTTCTTTTGTTGCTGCAGGTGTAGTGGCTCAGCAGAGTGAAATCTGGTTCCTGGACCGATCCCTGTGCTGGCATTTTTTGACACAAACCTTCACCTCTTACTACCGACTGATGATAACACATCTGGGTCTACCTGAGTGGCAGTATAACTTCACCCCATATGGCCCCAGTCCCCAGGCCAAGGTATAATAAAACCTAACCATCTATAATAGCTAGTTAACCTGCATGAACACAGACACAGAAACAAATATTAATACATAGAAATCACTCGGATCTTAAGATGAGTATCTGTTTGAATAGATACTTGTGCTACACCCAACATCCCACGTGCACAGCACCACAGAGAAGAATCTGGTCATACAACATTTTAACATAATCAAGTAAATATACAAACACTAGCCAAGGTTTAACAGTGGAATTTCCTTGACAGAGGCTCCCATGATACAGACTTAGTTGTGAGATTTGAAAGTGTGTGTAAAGGAAGGGTCTTTTATTTATGTATGCAAAAAAAAAAACAAGTCTGACATTTTGTGCTTCTTAAAGAACATCACTGTTATACAAAGCATTTGTAATATCTTTAAAAAAGTTCAGCAACTAAACATAAAGCAGCAAAAATGTATGTCATATAGTTTTTAATTCAACTATTAATACAGTGCAGAGTAATTTGTTTTTAGCATTATAGGCATTGTGCTGTGGATAAAGAGCTTCTGCAAACATTTAATTGTATGCTTTAATTTTCCCTAATAAAAAATGATGTCTAGTCCTCAAATACTTGACAGTGAAATCCCAACTTGCAGTCACTGCAGGTATAAAAAAGACACTTTATTTTGTACTTTCCATTTGCAGTATACTTTCATATCATCGTATTTATTTTTGTAAACAAGTTTATAAAACTGACATAATGCATTTATCTTCTGAAGCACAGCTATTGCAGATTCATCATCTTTCAATCCCTATGCACTGAAAACAAGAAAGTAAATTGTAAATACAATGGTTTGTGATTAAAATTCAGATAGTAATTAGACCTTTGCAGTTTTCCTGTGTTGTTTTTTATGCTTTAAACTGTGGTTGTTAAAATATTTTTCAAAGGGTCAATTTGCTTTTCTCCTGTGCAGCAGTGGGCGTCCCTATATCAGCCATTGACCTTCAGGAGTGAAACAAGCCTGGCTGATTCTGCAGGAGAACCCTATTTTAATAAACTGGACCCTACCAAGGCCTTTAAAGGCAAAACAAAGGCACCAGCTCCCAAAAAGAAGCAGTCCACACAGTGCAACTCAGGAAATACTGCAAAGAGCCAGGGATGTACGGTAAGACCGATTGGGGCAAAGCGTTGAAAAGTCCCCACAAAGATAAAAAACCATGTTTGAGCAGCAGTGATTCTGAGAAAAAAAATGTCTCCAACAGTTGGAGGCACATTTAATGTATATTGAGGTTTTTGGAGGTTGTTTTTTTTTTCCATTTTGTTTTTCATTCTGTTAAATGAGGCTTTTCGCAGCAGTTCAAAGCACTTGAGTAACATATTGATTATTTGCCACCTCATTTAGCATTAGGGTGACACCTCCTGGTAAAAACAACTCGAAGCAGAGCTTTAAAAAATTATCACATGCAGCTGAAATATTTAACACGTTAAACCGACATGTTGTCAATTGTATTAGCACTGAATCTTTAAATGACAAATATTTACCCAATAAGTGCAATACATCATTGTATAATGGTAGTTATTATCACTGATGTTGTAAATATTTTGAATGCCCCATACAGTACTGTGTAATTTCACCAGAAAATTAAAAATCCCTTCATCTCTGAGTGACTGTCAAATGGACTTATAACAATTCTGTTGGATGGTAAAGGTGGTTCTAATCTGCAGGCAGTTTCACATTAGTCAGTTAATATATCACAGCTACATCTTGTTTTAACAGTGAGCCACATTCTGACACAATCTAGATCTAGTCTGAGCAAATATTGAACATTTTGACTTGCAGTTTACTACATAATTTTTTTATTTTTTATTTTTATTTTTTTGGCAAAGTGATTCCGTGTACTGGCGGTAATGATTTATTTATTTATTTATTGCTTTTTTATTTTATTTTTATATATATTAATTTCATATTATGTCCAGACATGCCCTAGCCACTAAAGACACAATTTCATTTTTATTATAAAATTAAAAACAAATTAATTGAAGTGCAAGAATTTGGCTTTGTCTTTTCTTTACATACCTTCTTTACTTATCGACCTCCTCTGACCTCCACTGGTTGTCATAATTAATTGTTAATGTAGTAAATCCAGTCATGTAGGCTAAAAATTATCACCATGTCAGGGGTCCCTAATCACTTGGTACCGGGTCACAGTAAATTAATTAATACTTCCCTTAATTTAAGGAGAACTTGGTCATTTGTGTTTACTTCCTTCAAAATAATACATCTTTCAGACTCCAATACTAACAGAATAAAGCCTAAAAAATGTTTTACTTTTTTTTACTGATTCTTAACAATGAACAGTGTGAATGTCCACAGAACCGGCTGGTACTGGCAAAATTGTCCTTTAAACTAAAAAGGTTGGGGCCCCCACCTACCGTAAGTCTCCTCCTTTATTTTGGTCTTCAGTTTTCCTTATACTCCATGCATGAATACTTCAGCAGAACACAGATGCTGTTCCTCACACACACGCGTCTGCAAAGTTGTTTTTAGGATTTTCCTCTTGGACAACGTCCTCCTCAAATAAGCCCTCACCAAGAGGCAGAGGCAGTGGTGGATGGTGCAATTCCACTAAGGCCTTGTAGAGCCCTGCACCCAATACTCCTCCAATAGGGGGAGCAATCAGGGGTACCCACCACCAACCACGTCCAGCCCTAGATGGATGAAGAACAATTAGATGGTAAATTTAAGAAAAGAGGTAATTTTTTCTATAAATAATTACTGTTATTTTGGGGTTTTTTTGTTTTTGTTTTTTTTACCAGAGTGGCAGTAAACAAAGTACATGTTTGGTGAAAAACTGGAGGGAATATTTAATCATTAACAGAGGTTTTAAGCACTACTTGACCTGAATTGACGTTGTTGTGCATATACAGCGGACCTCTCTCTTTATGATGACACAATTCATCATTCATTTACCTAAACACATCAGCTCCCCAGCCTGCTATTGCAGTAAAGACCCTCGGTCCAATGTCTCTGTTGGGGTTTATTGCATAGCCGCTGTTGCTGCCCAAGGAAATACCAATAAGTAGCACCAGGAGTCCCACAGCAGCAGGCTCACTGCCTGCAGCGGCCGGTTTGTTCCTCTGGTCTGACAGAGCCATCAGGCCCAACAGCAGCATGGCAGTGCCAAAAACCTGGAGAACACAGGCGTGAAACCATACAGAATAGTACGGCATGCGTTGTGATTTGTTGCTGTCCTTTCAGTCTTTTTCAGGCTACCTGGTCAATGAATCCAGCCATTAGGGACAGATATGGTGCAGGATAGGTGGCAAAGATACCAGCAGTGGCTCTGTCGCCAGTTACTGTCAGGTTTCCTCCACAGTAATCATGTATGGCTTCTGCATATATGGAAACAAAATATATTAGATGATGTTTTGTTTTGTTTTTTTTACTTTTTTTATAATTAATCAGTAAGATGGGGCTTTTTCAAAGACAAAAGAACTAAATGATTTGTGGCATTATAACTAAAACATACCAAACACAAAGTTAAAAATAATAATAATAAAAATGGAAACAATAACTGATGAAGTTAAAGTTGGGACAGAGGTGGACAATATATCTGAGGAAAAGCCCAGAAGAGAAACTGTTGGTGAATTCCTTACCGTAGTAAACAGCATAAATGGTCCCAGCTGCCACGAAGGAACCCACAAGCTGTGCAAATAAATATACAGGTAACATCTTCCATGCAAGGCGACCAAAAGTGCACATGGTGAATGATACTGCAGCGTTCATGTGTGCCCCTAGTGGAATAAGAAAGCATAATAAATACAGGACACTGACTGTTTCTTAGGCAGAGTTCACAAAGTTTAAGTCCTGTACCTGAAACGTTTCCTCCAACATGGATGCCCATAGCAACTCCCAGTGCAAAACCCAGGTTGATGCTGAGGTACTGTCCAAAGGCTCCCTGCCCTGTCACCACCTGGGCTACAGACCCCAGGCCAAACGCCTGGTTCCAGAGAAACAATAAGGTTATGTTGTAAGGCAATGTCTCTAATGCTAATTAAAACAGCAGAAAAAGACTCACAGACAGAGAGATAAAATAAGACACATGAAATGGTAACAAATATACAATTAATTAATTTACAAAGATAATTAAATGTATTTTCTTTGTTTAAATTTGAGTGAAAGTAAAAAGCAGGAAAAAGAAGTGCAAAAACTGCTGCTGGTAAATAGGAAGTGGTTACATATTCAGATCAAAAGTCATGCGCTAACTCAGCAAACATTAAGGCTGTAAGTAGATTAGTAGGCTAATGTGTGTACACAAAATACACGGAAGAAAAAAAGAAATGTAATGTATTTTGTGTAAACAAAATTATTTTTTATACAATAGCAGAAGAAAACCACAAGAAAGTAGGTCAATGTAAATGTGTGAACACTGTGTGTATGTGTGTGTTTTATGTGTGGTCTAAGTATAAGTTCATTGTACTAGTTAACAGATACATGCGACTTGCCATGTGGTCCGTGACCTGACCAGGCCTCTGTTTTTGATTTCCTAGTTCACCCACTCAAACCCACCAATCCCCACTCACAGACCCCCACCATGTGACTACCGAGTGTGCTTTGTTGTTGGTTTGCCACCGGATGTCATCAGGGTCAAGAGTGTGACTTTGTAAGACATAACGGTCCCCACAGAGTCTCACACAGAAGGACAGGACTCAATCAAATGGTTTCTAAACAAATATCACTCCACACACACTTTTAATGAACTCTTTCTTACCATCATGACATATGTGCAAAGGCATTCAGCAAGTCCCACACGAACAAGCTCACTCTTTATCCAAACTTTGGGGCGAGTAACTTTGCCCCCTTTGCGCAGAGAGACCCCCGCTTCTGCCAAGTCCTTCATTTCTTCTGCTTCTCTACTTTGGCCTGTTTGTTACTCTGTTTCTTATTTATAAAGTTCCTTCATTGTTTGTAGTAGTCCACCAGAAAGTGTGCTTCTGCCGTGTCCTCCTTGTACTTTTCTTTCTGTTTGTGTCTCTCTCCCTCTTTTCCTCTCACCCACTGTCACACGTACCCATCGGGCTTTGTCCACAGTTTAGAACTTTGTCCCCACCCCCAGCTCCACACACTCACACACATCCACCAATGGTTTTGCGCTCTGTGGGATACACCACCAATAGGAGGAAGGGTTTTGAAAATGTAACTGCCCTGCTCTGCCATGAATATGCTGATTAGTCTAAATGCTTTAACATAACCTCAGTAGTTTGGTAGAAGTTTTTTTTTTTTTTTTTTCAGCTTAAAAATGTCCAGTTAATTTATAAAACATGATTCGTGACTGAATAAAACATTTATATATTAGATTTATTAGATTTATTTAGATATATTAGATTTTTTTTTCATTAACTAAAAATGTTGTTTAAGGCCCCTCTTTGGGTAACGGCTGACCAAAACACACTTATACCTACAGTCAGTTTAGAGTAAACAAGTACCAGAGTAGACTGGTTTCATGGAAGAATGTGCAAACTCAATTTACTTACAATGACCATCCTAATGTAAGGCAAATATTCTGCTCCAATGCTGCATGGTAAATGACGGGCTAATCTAGTTACCCTTCTTAATCTAAGGCATACGGCTTAGCTGTATAACCGGAGTTCAAGTTTGCCCAGTTTTTGTGTAGTGTTATAAAAAACATGCATGACCATTAGTGCATGCATTCAGCATATGACCAAGCACGGGGGTCAATCCTGCTGGGCCACCTTTACATTTCTAAGGACTACTACTAGTAGTAGTATATCCACTTAGCTAACTGACAAAAAACCCTATGTTAAAGTGTTTTTATGTTTATATATATATATATATATATCAATTTTTATCTTTTTAATTTGAAGCAGTTTAACTCAGTTGCTCTTCTTAGGGAAATGATAATGATGTCTGAATTAGTACCAGGTGGACGGATGCCAGATAAATTTGTTCAACTCTCACCCTCCTTACCATGGAAGGAGGGTGACAGTACTTTCCTCCCACAGCTGCGTGTACTGATAGTAGAGTAAAGGTTTTCTGTGGTCACACCTACTGTTCGTGGTGTAACCGTGGCTGGACGACTTTTTTCTTTTGGTTCACTGTGGCAGTCGTTGGGCTCCGGTAAGACAATGATTTTGATGGATTTATTGTGTCATCCCGTGTGGGCAATTTCCACGGTGCTGCTGGCGCTGGTCGTGCGCCTGCAGCGCAGAGCGAAATGGGATCCACGAGCCTGTGAAGTGACGCTGAAAGGGAAAACAGCAATAGTGACAGGAGCCAATACAGGTAATAAATGCAATAGAAACGAAACCACCGTAGTTTGCTGCAAACACGTTCCTCTTTTCGTAGGAACAGTACAGTTTACTAAAACTTAAACTCCAGTTTACTTTACTTCAAGCTGTGTAGACACTCGTTTAGTAACAAAACCATTACAAGCCGTAAGCTGAAAACAGAGTGATGGGATCGAAAAATACGCGACATTTCCAGTGCCTTTTCTAACTATGTATTATTAGTAGAAAATCATACGAAATTTCCGATGCAATTTTAAATGTTGTCTCCCAGGTTGGAAAATGTTTTCTCCNATTAAGGAATTTACTGCGTAAAATTTTAAAGATACTATCTATTGTAATATAGTATAGCGTCACAGTATTTCTGTAAAAGAAGAAAAAACGATAAAACAACACCAGTCTTGCTATGGTGCTTGAGACTTGAGACTTAAGTAATACCTTAATAATACTGAAGAAATAATTGGAAGTGAAAAAAAATTGTTTGCAGTCTTATTGTTTCATGCATCTGATGAAGTCATATTTTATTTACTTTTACATATAAATTCTCGATAGATAGCATTTATAGTTCATTTTGAATGCCTTATCAATATTTAAATGAAAACACTGAAGTGCATCCTTTGTACTGTGTACGTCATTTTTTCACTGCTTCGCCATTTGCAGCCTACTTTACACACACAGCAGCAGATTGATGACTTTAAACAGTACTGTCACTGTCATTGTAGGGATGTTCATACATTTTGCTGCTTTACTCCACTCTGCTAGGCATAGGAAAGTTCATTGCCATGGACTTCGCCCGACGTGGAGCACGTGTTATCCTTGCCTGTCGCAGCGAGGCCCGGGGCTCAGCAGCACTGAAGGAAATCAGGGAGACAACAGGAAACTCTAATGTCCACCTGCGTTTAGTAGATGTGTCCTCTCTGGACTCTGTCAGGGAATTTGCCGACAGGATTCTTGCTGAAGAAAAAGCACTCCACATTCTTGTCAACAATGCTGGTGCATCAGGTGACCTGTGCACTCACATACTGTACCAGATTGTGATGGTATCTTATTTGAACATTATCTGATTATCTATTTTGCTATAAAAGCTTTGTAGCGCCACAGCTGTTCATTTAGTGAATTATTCAGTAAGGTAAGAAGTTTTATTTAGCAATATGTCAAGACACGATTTGCATATTGATCACTTTCTGAAATTGCCTAAAAACATATTGGTAAATGCCAAAAAGTGAGAGAGATGTGTCAAAATGTTAGAACAGTACTAGAAGAGCAATGAAATGAATGGTTTCAAAGAACAATAGAAAATGAATAACAGGAGATGTGTTTAAGGACTCTCCCTTTTTTTTATGAAGATTAAATGATGCAGATTGGGTCAAAAAGTATTCGTAGGATAATTAAAGTAGTTAAAGTTAATTAAGTAAACTATAATTATATCTTGTGGTCCTATGTGGCAAAACTAGAATGACATGCTCATGGAGATGTTGAAAATAACAAAGATGCATATGACCCAAAAAACACCATCCCCAATTTGAGTTAGAAAAGTCAACATTTTTTGTTATATTAATGGTGTGTGTGTGTGTGTGTGTTTAACTTAACATCCAGGTTTACCCAGGGAAATAACCAAAGATGGATTGGAAATTTCATTTGCCACCAACCATTTGGGGCCTTTCCTGCTCACCAACCTGCTGCTGGGTACGGATAAGGACGTCTTTTTGGTTTTTGTTTTCTGTTACGTGTGACAAGGATGTTATTTTGTTCCTGTATAAAGACGCCCTACTTCATTGTCCAACGTCTACGTTCTTTTCTAGATTTATTGAAGAACTCGGCTCCTTCACGTATTGTCACTGTCAGCTCAGTCAATCATAAGAAAGGTCAGGTGGACTTTTCTCACTTTCGGGGGGAGAATCTGAAATACCACATGGATACAGTCTACAATCACACAAAGCTGCATAACGTCATCTGCACCACCGAGCTGGCACGTCGGCTTCAGGGAACTGGTAGGCAAAACAAAAATGTTGATGAGTTTTACTAGTTTTACTAAATTGTGAATCAAAGGTAATAGTAATAATCTAAGGTTGTCTACAAATTATGTTGAAAGATCTACTTGTTAAGAACATGATTATATACTTATCTATGCTCTACTTGCAAAAAGACAATGATGTTTTTTTTCAGTTTTTGGAAACCCAATTTTCAAGCGTGACGTGATGTAAATCAGGAGCCTAAAATATAGTTTTTTATCTGTAGTTTTTTTAATCTCCTTTTTGCATCTGTTTTCTGACTGGGTTCACAATGTTATGCGAGGTCATGTGTGTTTTTGTGTCCAGGCGTCTGTGCCAACTCTGTCCACCCTGGTGTTGTCCTGACAGAAGTGTTACGACACTATTCGTTAACCGTCCGTTTTCTCTTCAACCTCATCGGATTTTTCTTTTTCAAGGTGAGCTTGTATTTTATTTAATAGTTTCTTCCTGCGATTGTTGTATTTTGTATTATTATTTAAATAGTTTAAATAATTACTTAAATAATGTACTGCTGCTTTATTTGTTCACTGTTCACAAAAGAACAGAATGAATTTGGCAAAATGGCATCTGTTGCCAGGATGTCACAGTATTTGTACAACAAAGTCAAGGAGGTGGAGGAGACTTCACCTGAGGAGGAGAACCTTTTAATAGCTCTTGTAAAAATGATAACAACAAACTGGACCATGTCCAGCTTGCATACAGAGCTGGGCTACAAATTAAACACTTAAAATGATGTGAGATCAGTAGCTTAATGTTGAAACCAGCTTTGTGGTCGGTCTATAGTAGATCCAAATTCCCTTGTCCATTTTCATGAGGTGAAATCAATGCAGGCGTGAAAACTAGTGGGAAAAAAAGTAGTAATGAGCAGTGAGCATTCCAGAAAACACAATTGAGCACGTTTCCCAAGTAAAATGATCCTCACCCTGAAACAGATGTTATTCAGAATGTGTCTGTAGGTGAAGTAAACATTTGAGGACAATACTTTTCTGATTTGTTGTTGTAGTCACATTAAGTAAACAGGGCAGACATTTTATTCCTATGCTTTTACTCCAAAATGTCATCAATATAGCAGCACTGTAAAACATAGACTGGAGCAGCAACTGTGAAATGGTGACCTGCAACCTGTTTGCAGACCACAAGCTGATTCAACATCAAGAAACCTATAGGAAGTTGTATAAATATAAGGAGCACGGTAAAAGGAGGTGGTTTTTCAGGTGTAAGTAATAAGTAAGTATATATGATGGCCCAGAGAGAACAGCATTTTATTACCATTTAGCTTTGAAGCAATTCCATGCGACTTATCCTAGTACAAGTACTTATCCACACTTTGCCAGCAGTAGCAGCTTAGATTGAATGAGTACGGCATGTTTAAAGTTTGGAAGGAAAATGACAAATATGAAATATGCAACACGCTGCACTGAAGTCTGTTTAATTTATTTTTTCCAGGCTTAACCATTTCCTATCAACGAAAAGTATTACCAAAGTGTATTTGTGTGTTGCACAACAGTTAACAGCATGTAGGGTCAAAGGTAAAGTAAAGGTTTGCAGTAGTAGAGTATTGGGTAACATATTTGTACCCTCAGTATGAAGCTTTTGGGTTTTTTTATGTTAGGCTTTGTTGTGACACTAGAGCAGAAAACAACTTCTGATGAGCATGAGACTCAGACATGTGTGTTTGTGTTTGTGTATGTGCTTCAAATACTTTTTCTTTTTCTGGAGCTGATTCATAGCAGCTACATGTCTGCGTCACAGGATTACACAAGACCCTAAGCCCACCCATATCTGGAATCCATTAAAGCCAGAGTTTGCTTTTTTAGCCATGTTCCTGGTTTCTGTCTGGTGTCCTGCAAGAAGTATTCTGACATTATTTTATATATCGTTTTAGTTTTTCTTAATTTTTGTCTTTAACGTCACATTTCCTGTGCATCATTCTTGTCTCCTTCACAGTCTCCAGAAGAGGGTGCGGTCAGCTCAATCTACTGTGCAGTAGCAGAGGACACAGAGGGGATAACTGGAAAGTACTTTGACAGCGACTGTTCTCTGGTTCTTCCCGCCCCTTTAGCACGAGACCCTGCCCTTGCAGTAAAAGACTTTGAGATCTGTGAGAGACTGACATCAAAGCTCTGAAACTATTATCAGGCAGATGTCGGCTTGATAATAACATGTGGACATTCCTTTTTATTTTTGTAATAGAATTAGTAAAGTATGCTGTAGGTAGAAGACAGGGTTAGGGTTCAGAGTAGATGTTTTTAAAGCTGGATTGAAGTCATGGAAAAATAATTTTGTAAATTACTCTATTAACTTAACTACAAAGTTACTCTATAGTTACTGTAGTACCTGCCTGGTCGTCTGGTTGTTCAGGGAACCATGCATGTACTGCAGCTGCATTGCTCTGTTACATTACTCTTTTTTTTCCTTTTATGCAGTGGTGTCAAACGCATTTTGGTTCGTGGCCATATTTAGCCTAATTAGGCCAGACCATACCATAATTACCTATGAATAACAACAAGTCCATGCTTTTCACCTTTGTTTTCATGCACATAAGTACAAGTATATTTAACAATCTTCATATTGAATGAAATACAATTTTACTAAACATATTATGAACATGAAGTCCATTTTTATACTTTGCAAATTCATCAAGCGGGCCAGATTGACCCTCTAATGGGCCAACTTTGGCCCACGGGCCGTATGTTTGACATCCTTGCTTTAATGCATTGTATGCCGGCGATATTGATAACAGCAATTAAGGGTAAAAATCAAAAAGACAATTTTAAAAAGTAAAAAATAATTACAACTGACCAAATAAATGATATTATTAATTACATTTATTGACTGATTTATTCAAATACAATAAAACAATTGCAAACGTTTAGTTCTTTATGAAGACTTTACACAGCATCATCCTTTCAGAGTCGTCACGGTCACCGTTTCCTTGCAAGGAAAGATAGTGGGAGAACACAATGTCAACCAAGGAGCATTTGAATATCAGCAGTCCGACTCATGATAATAAACCGATAATAAGACCATTCAAGGCTGTGTGACATTTTCAGGAAAAGTGTATCTTTACACTGATAAGTGACAAATATGTTCTTGTTTACCTTCCTAATGATCCTCAACAATTTTATGGAGCACCGGTACTACATGATCCAGCTGTTTGGGTGAAAGACGCACAGCGATTTCCACCATTTTCTCCTGAACACAGACGTGCCAAAATGAAGCATAAACGTTACTGCACTGTGTGATGTTAGAAACACAATGTGCTGGAGTTCACTCACTGCATTTCCTCCATGTTCTGGCTCAGGAAGCTGTTGGACGGTGAATTCTTCAAACTGACCATCCTCCGACCTTGGCTCCATGTCTTTTTTACTTCCCTTTTCCTGCTGTTCATATTAGGAAAGCACAATGGGGAGTAACAGGTCTTCAAGACGATTTACAGATTTAATAGAAATCACAGGTGTACTGTAGATTACATATTTTATTTTTTTAATATTTTATGCACAGTTGGGTTTAACCTGTGTACTTCTGTATACATTCAAACTACAAATTCAGCCAAATTAAACGAGATAAAATAATCTACTTTACATAATACGTAATCAGATATGGCATATTTATATTTCAAAATCAAACCTATTGACCAGTTGACAAAACTCTTTTCTATGAGAAACTAAGTTAACACTCCATAGATTTATTATATGCCATTATCATTAAAGAGAAGTAGAAAAAAGTGTAAGGACTGTACGACTGTAATGCAATTTATTCCATTTACTTGTTAGAAACTGACCAAAAAAATGAAACAGATGTCAATAGATGCTAGCTCATTTTTATTTTGTCCATTAAGTCTTTAAGGCCTAACACCAGGTTCAGTCTAATCTGATTCAATCAAGAGCTGCTCACCATAAACGTCAACATCTCTTTTGGGCTGAGGAAAGTGATGTGTCCATCTGTCCTCTCAACCAGCAGCACCATCAGGCACATCAGCACCACGCAAACAGCCAATGTCCGCCGCATGCTCATTCTGCTCTGTCCTGGATACATATTCACATACTATATTGTATAAAAACAGGCTGTCAAAAAGCAGTGAGTTGAAACAAAAGTACAAGGAAGAGGGTGTTTATACATCGGGACAGATTCCCTTAAGAAGTCTGGCATTTTTTAGCAGTGAGAAAAAAGATATAGTAGTCAAAATAGGTCAAACACAGCATTTGGCATGATGAGGTTGAGTGTGTGTGTGTGTCCGAAACAACTGAGTTTACAAGGACATGCAAACCCATGTCATTATGCAAGGGAGAGGCTGACAAATAGATAACAGATAGGGAAGGGGAGGGAGAGGTGGGGAAATGTTGGGGGAGGCTTGGAAGTTACAAACAAACGGCTCCAGCGACAAGAGAGATAAGTTGCTGGAGTCAACATGCTAACATGTACAACAGCAAGACAGCTCTGTTCACACATGTTAGAAAACCAAGGCAGGGCACAGGCAACACAAAGGCAAGAAGAAAGAAGAAGAAAAGCCCAGGAGAGGGAGAAGTTGAAGGAGTCACCACATTCTACTCACGTGATATGCGAGACTTGTTCAGTGTCTTGGAGAAGTGTGCTTTAAGATGAGCAGAGCTCCACCAGTCTGAGCGTCAGCTTGTCTCAGTCAGCCTTTATATCAAGTCCTCTCCTGATCACTGAGCTTTTTACTGTCCTCCCTCCTTCAGGCACTCTTCTCTACTCTCCTAGAAACACACATATTACTCTGGAATCTGGCTATTTTATTAGGGCAGTAAGCTCACAATGTGATAGGTCAGTGACAAAAATGTCACGTTAAGAAACAACCATGTCGTTTTTTTTCTTAGTGCATTGTGGGGTTTTACAAAGGACTAGATTCCTTTTATGATAAATTATTGTGGTGAGATGTTTTTTTTGTTTGTTTGTTTGTTTTTGTTTTGGGTGAGAAAACATAACATTCTTGTTAGCGATTTGGGGTTTTACGAAAATAAAAACAACAAAATAAAAAAGATACAGTATAGTCACAAATGTTGTGGTAGTCTTACAAAATAATTAAAATAAAATACCTCAATATTTGTCTAAAGTTGAAAAGTTGAAATTGAAAATTGAATAAATCGCAGCCAAATGTCAAAATAATGAATAATTACAGAATAAGAAGGACAATTTTGAACGGTCAGTAGTCTTGTCAATAGAATAAAGTTTTCTTATGTTTGATGAGGAAGACAAGCTCAGAACACAGGGTAACGTTAGGTTAAAATAAGGTTATCAGTCATTCTAAGTATGTTTATTTTTGTGTGTGTGCGTTTGCCATAAATTGTCTGCTCCAAATAAATACTGACATTTATGGTGTTTCAGAAACTTCTACCCATACACTGACAGGAGCCACATAGACACGTTCCTTAGTAACCACTCTGACACAAAGGAACTTTAATGATGCCCTCTTCTACCGCTGACACATTTTCTTCCGGTGTGGTGCTGAAATGCTATGGCAGATTGTGTGTATCCTGTCGTCAGAATACTCTGCACAAGTGGACAATTTCAAAACTGGCTGAGGCTTATTTGATGTCCGGCACTAAAAGTAAAGTGTTTCTATCACCTATAATGGCCACAGTGACGCAAACATTTTTCTATCACTTAAAACTATGTTTTTGTCATGAATACGATACATTTTAAAACACTACGTAAGTCGGTTAGCTGAGTTGATTGGCATGCTCTCCCTGCTTTTCTTTTTATCTCTTTCTCTCTACATAAGGAATATATAGAGTGAAAAATATGAACCATAGTCAATTACTAACTTGTGTATTTGTGTATTTTAACGTATTATATTTATTTAAGAATATGACTTAAATAAAAGTAGAAAATGTGAACTAAAAAGCTCTTAAAAACAAGTTATGATGTATTTAAAATATTTTATACATTTCTTGAAAAAGTTTTAAAAAAAGTAAAAGTAAAACACAAATAAACAATGGGCGCCAAACAGAATAACAATATAATAATAATAAGCAATTACATGACGAAAAAGTTGCTTTTCTATTTTGTGAGACGACCGACTCTTGTTCTGGGTGTTCATAACTGTGTCCAGCAGATGGCAATATCTCACCCCTAGTCAGATCTCGCGGTGTTTTGTCGTTAATGCGGGGTTTGTAACATGCCACACTTGGCTAAAGAGAGGCTCGAAGGAGTTGATGCGATCTCATTTCTCGAGGAGAGGCTGCAGTGCTGACACATAGTGCTGCAGAGATTTACTTATCATGGTAAGAGAAAAAGCGTTTGTAACGAGAAGGCAAAGGCGAACTAATCCTCAGTACTTCGCATCATACAGCTTTGCGTTGGAATGCAAATATGTATTTTTTTTTCTAAAAGCTTTTACAAGCATTTGTTTTATATCGGGCCTCTCAACGATACTGGGCCAATTAGCCACATCTGTAGTCAATGTGAAAAGTAAAAGACTAACGACTCAATTCAAAACAGCGATATGAATGCGTGGATAGTTTTATTAACCTATCGAATTGCTGAATCTTTACCAATGTGATGTCTTTATTTACAAACTGAAGATAACATACGTTGACGCAGACTTCAGCAGTGCTGCTAGCCCAAGTTAGCTTGGTTGCGGCGTGGAGCATAGGCCCTCGTGAACACGTGGGTGCACTCAAATGACCACGTGGCTGACATTAAAAGTTGTCGTAGATCAGAATTCAATGTTAAGCCTGAGTTATTAAATTAAATAAGTTATTAAGTGTATTTTAGTGGCTTTATAGGCGTCTACGCAAGCTATAATATAATCGATTACCACGTGTAAACCGCCATTTGCACGTGTGGTTTAAAATGGTTTACTAATTATGTATGTAATAGTCCAACTACATAAATTAGGTGTTAATTACTGAACTAGCTGTTCTTTTGTGCCATGTTCATCTGTCGTAGGTGTTGATACACGTGTTGTTCGAACATGCGGCGGGATACGCGCTGTTCGCCGTTAAAGAAGTGGAGGAGATTGGCATGCTGTTACCACAAGTGAGTCGACTGACACAACTTCCGCATGAAAAAATGATCAATTTTCACAGATGTCGTATTCTTACCTTATCGGTCTTTAGGTGGAGCAGAGCGTGTTGAGTGTTGGGAAGTTTAACAGCATGGTCAGCCTGGCTGCATTCTTCCCTTTCAAGTCTGCACAGGGGGCTCTGGAGAACATGAATGCCATTTCTGAAGGTGAGTTCATAGTTTGTTTCCTATTACGATCGAACAAACTTTCCTCAGCTGTAATGATGCTTCATAATCTGTCAATCCACTGATTTTTGTGCTGACAACTTCATATAATCCTGAACACTGAGGAAAGTTGACATTTATTCTTTTGTTATTCTTAGTTTGCCTTAGCATACAGTGCATGAAAGGTTGTTAGGCAATCGCTTGTGCAAATAGTATTTAAGTTCTTTAAATTTATTTTTTGTACTAAACCTGTCCATTGTTTTTGGTAAGCCCTGGCCTTTATGTAAATCAACATGTTAGCCTGTGTTGCATTTCTGATATGCATATAATCATGTATTGCCCTGCAGGTGTGGTTCATGCTGACCTAAAATTGTTCCTGGAAACCAATCTGCCACTCTCTGGCAAGAAGAAAGCAGTATTGGGGGTTTCAGATGCAAAGATTGGAGCAGCATTACAAGAAGAGTTCACCATTTCCATTCAGACTGGTGGTGTGGTGGCAGAGATCATCAGAGGTAAGATGATATATAATATGGGTTGTACGTTAAAAATAATGAATGGAAGGCCTGTTATGATGTAATCTTTATCTTGAAACTAATGATGGTTTATACTGAAAATCTGAATGGCCACCAGTGGTGTAGTGTTCATGCTTCTGCTCTATGTAAGACAAACAAGGCCTTGTGTGCTTTATTTTGCATCAGGTATTCGTCTGCATTTCCACTCCCTAGTAAAGGGTTTGACTGGTCTGGCTGCCTCCAAGGCACAGTTGGGTCTCGGCCACAGCTACTCCAGAGCTAAGGTCAAGTTCAATGTCAACAGAGCTGACAACATGATCATTCAGTCTATAGCTCTGTTGGATCAGCTGGACAAGGATATCAACACTTTCTCCATGCGTGTTCGGTAACTTCTTGTTTTATCCCCTTTTGTGTCCTCCTAATGCTTACCACAGACGGTACTTTTTTTTACCAATTCTGTCTTTCTTGTCTCTACAGAGAATGGTATGGCTACCACTTTCCCGAGCTCATTAAAATTGTGTCAGACAACTCCATGTATTGCCGCCTGGCTAAACTGATTGGAAATAGAAAAGAATTGTCAGAGGAGAGTCTTGAGAGCTTAGAGGAAGTTGTCATGGACAGCGCCAAGGCTCAGACCATCCTAGACGCATCACGATCCTCCATGGGTAAGTGACGAGAAAGTGAGGAGCTTTTATGGTTCTGAACTGTGCCCCTTTTTTGCCCACCCTGGACCTACAATTGTCCTCGGTGCCTAACACAGGGGGGCAGAATACATCTCTCATAAACCTGTAGTGAAGGCACAATTCCTCGCTGCGGATCCTGTCGGGAGAAACAATCATATCATTTTCTCATTTGTGAATTTGTGGCATTAGTTGCTTTACAATGTTTTAACCCTTTCAAAACCATCTGGTTCTTCTGCAGGTATGGACATATCTCCCATCGACCTTATTAACATAGAAAGTTTCTCCAACCGTGTGGTGTCTCTGGCATCCTATCGACTGGAACTACAGGAATACCTGCGCTCTAAGATGAGCCAAGTGGCCCCCAACCTTGCAGCCCTGATTGGAGAAGTAGTGAGTTGACTGTCCTACCGCTGTGCCTTTTATATTATCCCTGTGGACCAATGATGTTCTGCCAAAAATCTGTCAATCCACTGAAACTTTGTGTTGAAACATTCATCTGGTGCTGATGGTCCTCAAGACATTTTACCTACATGCATCCAAAGCCCAATTTGCTGCCTATATATATATATATTTTTTTTTCCTTAGGTGGGAGCTCGTCTGATCTCACATGCTGGAAGTCTGACCAACCTGGCCAAATACCCTGCCTCTACCGTCCAGATTCTGGGAGCAGAGAAGGCCCTGTTCAGGTACTGGGGCACCCCCTCCCTGCTGGGGAAACAAGTGGTTGCAGTGATGGCAGGGCAGGGCTGGAGTAGAGCAGGGTGACTGGAGAAGCTCTGTAGTTTTCTTCCAGAGTGATCCCTCTCTTCCATTGCACCCCCACAGTCTGAGCGACCACTCATAAAACTGAGGTAGCAAGTTGAGCTAGTTTTAACTTCCTTTGTCTGTCAGAAGCTGTTAAAGACCCTATTAACTCGGGTCAAAAAGTAAACGGTGAAAAGCACAACTGTCCAGAAAGTTAAACTGATCATAATTGTAAGGCGTAGGTGAAGCTTTGACTGCTGAGGTTTTTAACGTGTGGGAAAAGTAAGCTGTTAAACTCTTACTCTGCAGTTATACACCTAGCTGCTTTAAGAAGATATTCCCAAGTTTTACTCTCAAATCCAAACATAAGCCGTTGCCTGTTTGACTTGATTTTTTTCATGGACTTTAGTGGAAGGTTTTCTATTGCTTTTATATTAGGTTTTATCCATTTTTGCGTGTTTTATTGTTCGTTGTATGTGAAAACGGGAACTTTTTTTACACAGAGCTCTAAAGACTCGTGGCAACACTCCCAAGTATGGCCTCATCTTTCACTCGACCTTTATCGGACGTGCCGGTGCAAAAAACAAAGGTCGCATCTCTAGATACCTGGCAAACAAATGCACCATTGCCTCCCGAATCGATTGTTTCTCTGGTGAGTGACGGGGTCTTTGCAGGACTCTAGTTTCTGCTTTATTTCCTAAGTCTTTTTATTTATTTGGTAAGATCCGGTGGCAGAAATTGCAGTGATGCTCATATTTTTCGTCAACAGCATTCATCCTTCAGGTTGATGTTGAGAATTTCTTACTGAGCAAAAGCCACATTTTAAATGCATTTGAAGTTGTTACATTTAGACTTGGATATTTAATGTGTTGTTATCACATGGTTTACAGAGATACCCACGAGTGTGTTCGGTGATAAGCTGCGTGAACAAGTAGAGGAGCGTCTTTCTTTCTATGAATCAGGAGATATGCCTAGAAAAAATGTTGATGTCATGAAAGAAGCTATGAAAGAGGTGAGCTTTGGTTTGGTTTTCTAAATACATAGTCTTTCTGCTGTGGATGATGTCATGTTCTTCCTGACTACTGTGAGGGCAAAAACTGATTTAATGAGTCTGATGCAGCTGATCCAGTCAGTTTTAAAATAAATGAGAGTTTAGTTTGTAGTAAAGGGTTTGTTTGTTTTTTTCTTTTTTTTCTCGAAGGCTACGGATGTTGCGGCTGAAATTAAGCGGAAATTGGAGAAGAAAGAAAAGAAACGCAGGAAGCGTGAGAAGAAGTTGCAGGAACTTCAAGAAAATGGTGGAACCAACGGTGAAGCTGAGGTGAGCGCTGCTTTTAGTTTCTCCTCAATGCATGTTCTGATTTGAGGTGAACCCAAACAACTGGTTCCATCTCAGTGTACGTCATGCTATATCAGCTTGACTCAGAACCATTGGCTGGTCCCATTCAGTGGGCCTGATCACTGAAATGAGTCAGACATTACAGATGTGTAGTTCCACTGCTCAGGAGGCTCAAACACTAAGAATCAGCATTACTAAATGTATTACATTTTACAGGTGGTGGATGAAGAAGCAGATTCTGCCAAAATAAAGAAAAAGAAGCGAGCGGCAGAGGAAATGGAAGTCCAAGCAGAAGAGAGTCCTGCCTCAGAGAATGGAACAGATACTCCAGCCAAAAAGAAGAAAAAATCTAAAAAGGAGGCAGAGGTGGAGGAGGCAGCAGTGGTAGAGGAAACGGAGCCACAGAGCAAAAAGAAAAAACAAAAGACTAAAACAGAAGAGATCCAGGAGACACCTGTGTCTAAGAAGAAGAAGAGAAAGGCAGAGGATTAAAGAATAAGCAATGTAATTTTATGTTTGTATAAATTTTTTTTTTTTTTTTAATTCCAACTTTGTAAAAGCATCATGGTTTGTCTTTTTGGCAGTGTATGTGCTTTTGGGCTTCAGATGCACAATTGTAAGTGTGCCTTCAAATATTTACTTTTGTAAATAAATTCCTTTACTCTACATGCTCTGCATTGCTGTTTGGTTTTTTGTTTTGTACCTATACATGGTCATTGGTCACATGGGATATCAGGCTGACAATTTGTGTAATTGTACAGTCAGTTCTCTTAACACTGACGTCCAATACCCAATTGAATTGGCGTGCAAAATACTAAAGACCAACTGAACTATTATAAAACTCGTGCTGTGCCTCATTTGGAGCTTCTTGTATGTCCGCTATTACAGGCTGAGAGCTGCAGGTGGCGGTAGCGCGCTATGAAACAATTTGACAAATTCAAATTCGTAATCCTTCAGGTCAATTCAATTTCACTGAACAAATTTCAGCCTGATCACTCGTTCTCATCTATTCACCTCAACGGAACAGTCCCCGGGGCTAGTGCAATCATATTGGAATAAATTAGTTTTTGTCCCACCCCCTCCCCTTCAATTTCTGTGAAGTTTTAACAGCTAACTGTGCCCGTTCAGCTCAGAGGGAGAAACACTGATTTCGAAATAAGTGTTTAATGCTGTTAATATTCACAGAACATTAGTCAACATTACGACCAACGTTTAAATATAATCACAGCAAAAAATACCTTGATGGTTGTGTTGGAGTGTGGATTTTTGATGGATATTGTTCTGTGTGATCATTATGCCATGGTGAAAGTTCTGCAGTTTTCTGGTGCCAAGTTAAATCAGATGCAGTTCAGGCGCAGTTCAGCTAGACTCTTTCCTAAAGGGCAAATAATTTTAATATGGCAGAAATGTGGTCTGGAGATTTATTGTAGAAGCTGCATGGAAATAAAGTATTCATGAATATACAAATAAACTGAGGAAAAGACACTTGTTTGTCTGTGTGCTCTGTATCTACAGTCTTTGAGGAGGAGCAGGGAATATTAGGAGTTATGAGTGTTGGATTTGCATCCGAATGCAAAAATATATTCTCTCGGGCTCTGAGTGAACACAATAAAAGATTAGTGAACTAACAACAAGTGCCATGTTTATTCAGATTGATTAAATGAATAGGAATTAGGATTCAGTTGGAGAACACTGGGAAAACAGACATTAGGAGAAGTTCATTGGTGGGGTAATTGCTCATTAGTCTTAATTTCCATGCCATTTGCTGCTCGTGTTGAACAGCGTGAAAACAGTGTTCGCACTCGGTGCTTATCTTCTCAAATCAATCCTAGTTCTTGACACACTGTGTCTCTTTGACATTTGGTTACAGAATGTTCTCTTGACTTTTTTTTTTGATCAGATCTAATTATGGGAATATGAAAAATCCTATAATGCCAAGGTCAACAAGTTTGCAGTAACGGCTGTCTAATCTATACTTTTATGTATATATATATATATATATATATATATATATATATATAGGCCTATATCAAAACAAGAGTATGTTCCTCCATTAGCCTGTGATGTATTCACAAAAAAGAAAATCAGATAATTCAGATATAGGTTGAACATGTGAAACTCCCTGAAAAGGAAGTCGTATAATTATACAAAATAATAATATAATATAATCTTAGTTGAGTTCTAATCCACAACCAGATTTACTGTATATGGTGGTGTCCAGTGAAAAAACGGTAGGGGGCAGTATTACGATGCAAAGTATATAGGGCTGCTTTTAAAACCTAAAGTAATAGTTAAACAGGAGCTGGACACTGGGGTGGGAAAGGCAGCTTTTGTTCAACCTTGGAGGGAATTGACTGGGATTAAAATTTTTTAACATTGAAATGTAAATCTTATCGTTTTGTTAAACATGTTTAATCAAAAATCTGAAAATAATCTGAATTTCTTATCTGTCTTATCAAAGCTTATAAGACATTAAAATGTCTGCCAAGGAGTAAAAATGATGATTCTATTTATGTATTAGTCCAACACTGTAATACACATTTGCTATTAATGCTAATAGTTTCGAGTTTTCAAATTTGGGTAAAAGCCTCTTATTAAGTTATGCACGTATCTTATGTCACATGACCAGCAACATTTCTGTTTACTGTCTTTGAGATGCAGACATTTATAACTAGCAGTGATATCACATGGCAGCAGCTGAACACATTTTGCTTTTTTATTATTTTTGGTGTTAAATCGTTTGATACTGCCCTCTCCTGATGACTACTGGTATTGGCTATAGCGCTCCCTGTGGCCCCGACGGGGATGATGTGTGAATGTTTAAGTTTTAATTAATGTTTAAATTTCCTTAAATACATGTATACATATATACATATATATCTCTGTGTGTGTTTTTAATTAGTTTGATATTTCAGTTTACTAACTGTGAAGTACTTCCTCTCCATATGTGCTCTGTGTTTGTTGCAAAGCACCAAATGTTGAATCTGTGAGGCTGAGTTGACACAGTGGAGATGGTTAGTGAATGTGCACCTGCTGGATTTTCTTTTTAAATTTATCACAAGTCAAGTTTGAACCACCATCAAGGCAGCGGTGTCTGTAAAACCTCACAGTGGAGCTGATGCCGAACACTTTTCATTTCAATTCCTCTCACAACTAAAAGGAGCAGGGAAACAAAAAGGCCTGTGTGTAAAACTCTTCACACTGATTTATCCTGTTGTCAGGGGCAGTGGATGTAAACCTTTGCAGGTTGGCTCGCTTCCATTTTCTTTCTGGTTGTTCCACTTAACTAAACAGCAGCTTCCTGTCTAAACTGTGGCGCAGAGATAACAGAGACAGGTGAAACAGGGAGAGAGGATCAGGGACGAGGACAGTGGCCAGTGGCAGGTGAATGACTGTGTGAGAGTGTCTTCTAAGTGTCTGACTCCTGTGCTTCTGTGTTGAAGGACAGCCAGGACAGGAATGGAACGTAAGAAGTGAAGACAAATGCTTATTATAAGAGTGACAGCACACAGACTGAGAAAGGACGACATTTGTCACTTCCACAAAATCTGCAGCCAGCTGCTTCTCGGTGTCACACGAGTCACACTTATCTTCTGTACGGCAGCAACATATTTTCTCATTATGTGCAGCTACAGCTCGCACAAATGTGCCTCCGACTGGCAAGTAGTCTTGAATAAAAAGTTGCTTTCAGGGCAGAATTTTTATAAAAGAGATAAGGGGCAGAGAAGGAAATGCGGCACAATGGCCAGCGTAAAGCCAACGCATGTTTCCTTTCATTTTTTTGGATGTACTCTGCAGGCTAGGGAAGACAAATCGACCCCCTAACAATGGGCTGTTTCCTGCGGAATTTAGGATTTATTCCAGTTATTCCGTCTCGGAACTGTGAGAGATTGACAACAGTGATTTGCCACATCTCTTAATCTTCCCAAATGAGGAACAAGTCAGACCCTTTCACTAAATAATTCAAGACAGCTATTCATTTTCATCCCGTCTTCCTGTCTTTTCCCCACATGTCTGTATTTATGGCTGCTGTTGTATGTTTTTCATATGCTGTCAGGCTCATTAGGACGAACATCCCTGAGAGTTGGACGACTGAGGGACCTGTAATAAGCCCTTAAAACACCATCCACATGATGACGTTAAAGTGAAGTACTCTACTATGATGGCTCCCCCAGTACGTACACATTTCTGCTATTATGACCTTATTGAGTCTGCCAGTCAGTTAATCACCTTTTTTTTTCTTCTTTTCCGGAATGGCTTATCGCCCATCACAAGTACAGACTTTTTATTGGCTCCTGGGGACATCAGCAATGACCAGTTAAACATCAGAGATTTTTCCTTTTTAAACAATCAGGACGACACCTCCGCAGTGCCGTTTCATTGCCTCCGGTTCTCTCATTTCCCCTTGGCATTCTCAGATATAATGATTTTAATATTCCATTGACTGTATCTTTGCTGGTCTGCTGAGCAGGAAGCAGACGTTTCCATCAACTGTGCAGCGGCTGGCATTCATCATTAAATGTCTGCCCAGGAAACTGACAGCTTTTTCCACTCATCTGCATCTGCTTGGTATGCCAACTGGGTGAACATCCACATTATCCTAGCCACACTGTTATTTCTGATTAGCATATAATGCATCAATTACTTCACTTTCACTAAACAGAGGAGCTACCTCAGGTTTTGTTTCCAAGACAACTATGGAGAGCGCTAGCGGCAGTGGTGAATTATTTTGGCTGTGGATTTCTGAGCCTATAGGAGCCACCAATTTCTGTCCATTACACCTGACTCCAACTTATGGAATGTGATCTGGAAGTTTCCCCAGGACTGGCCAAATACATTATGTCTCTCTCTCCCCCTCTCTGTGTCTCTCTCTCTCCGTCTCCTACCATAAACACATTCTCACGCTGACAAACACATAGCCGCCTATTCAAAATTTACCATAATACACTTTGCCTGTTTTTTTATATTAGCATTTAACCTATTGTGTATCGTGTACACATAACACATCACTTGTGATACGTTAATAAGAGATGCAACATGCAGGTGCAGTTTTTCCTTCTCAGAAATATGCTCTATTTACTCACTGTTATCCTGTGATGTATTTATTATTGTTAATGCTAGAGTACTGTGAAATTAGGTAATTAAAACACTTTATTTTTTTGCTTACATATATGCATATATACTGTATATATCTCATGAACTCATGAAATAACCACCTCCTGTTGCATGATGTGTGGCTGTGGCTTTGTGACTCACTCAGGCTGCTGATTTTTAGCATCAGTCTTGTGTCATATCTGTTTTGTTTTGTTTTGTTTGTTTTTTTCTTCACTGCACCACAGGGACAAGAGACATCTGAATTAAAAAGCAGTAACAGGCAGAAAATGTCAATTTTCATCTCTTAACAGTTCCACCACCTGCGAACATCAGCTCCTCTATTTCTGCCTCACTTTCTATTTATATGTGAGTGTGTGTGTTTTGTAGATTTGCAAGGAATTCCAAGTCTTTGTTTAGGAGTTTGTTTTTTTTCAAAAGCACTTGCACTAAATGCTCCGAGGCCAAGGTCAATGCAGATACAATTTCAATTCAATCTTGATTTTTCTCTGTTACTCTTCATTGTTTGTTTTTTGACAAATAAAATAGAATTCAAACCATCAGCAATTTATAAATT